AATCATGACATATAAAAATCAGTTCAGTGGCAAATAAGAAAAGAGCAATGTGTCCTGTGAGAACAATGAAGGAGGGGGTTATAGATCAAGGCATCACTGTGGCAAGAGTCATCCAAAGGGCTCTTTGAGAAAATGCTGTTTACTACCTAAAGGAATGAGGATCTCAGCCATGTGAAAATCAAAGGAAGAATACAAGCAGAACACAAAATACCCAAAATAAATAGCACAGACTTATTTTAGAAACTGAAATGTGATCAGCTTGACTAAAGAATCCTGAACAGGACCAAGCCTGCCATGCAATGAATAGAGAGTTGGGATTGTGTGTCATCACAGAACTACCCAAGCCATATTCTACCAGACTGCACAGGGAACCACTGAAAGATGTTTAGGGGAGGAGTCACATGAGCAAGTCACTTCCCTGAACATCAATTACCATCCACAGTGTAGGAAGAGCCATCTCCTAGAGTCTGCATTTCGCTATCACTATGAGGATCAAATGAGTCACTACTAATGAAAGCCTTGAGAATTGCAACGTGTTAGTACCCCAATAATCACAGAGGCATTGTTTATAGTATTTTCTACTGCAGACCACTGTTCAAGCACTTTGTGTCATCAGGACGGGCCACAGTAGACAGTATTGCTTTTGGAATCTTATGTACAAGGATTTAAACTCCAAGACAATGATATATGGGTGACCCATCAGATTTAGGCCACTTAGAGCTATCCACCCTTAGGCTTCTCATGTGTTCAATGGATGAGGAAATGTGGCCTTTTCCAAAGTTTCTTGATTCTTTGTATAAATAATTTCAGCCCAAAGTGTTAAGTATGAATCATGGAATTTTTTACATATGTCAAAAAATATGCAACATAAACAGATGAACTTTAAAACAACTCAGCTTAAACAGTGAAAAATTGTGGGGAAAGCACAGCAATTTCTCATGTAATCAGACTCTTTGTAGGTTTCTTTTAACTCTATAAAAATAAACTTTCTTTTTCTATGCCTGAATTAATATTCTTCATCTCTTACCAAACAGGAATTCTCATCTCTTCTAGACAAGGAAATATAGCACGTCCTCATATTTGTACAAAAAGTAGATACTGGTGAGATCAGCATACTGTTTCATAGTGTTTGGAGTCTCAGTCCACCAGCCCGGATGGGGTGTCAGTATTAGGAATAAGAAGCTTATCAATAAGCTGTCTAGAATTCATAAGGCATGTTTTCAAAGGTACTTATGGTTTTCTTGAAGATATGAGAAAAATATCGGAAAAATTAATAACACTAGTAAAATATAATATAGAGAGAGTCTACATTGATATTATATGATTCCTTTACACCTAGAGGTAAATGATGAACTAATAATACTTGAGTCTAAGCCTTTTGACTCAACACTACCTCACTATTTCCTCTCATTCTAGATATGTTCAGTGTCTGTCCAGATTGAGGACATCACATCTCCTGAGAACAATGCACCTTTCACAGTCCTTCATCAACATCTCCTTCTTCCAGCCACAGTATTTCCTCATGACTGGCATCCCAGGGCTAGAGACCATCCATGGATGGATCTCCATCCCCTTCTCCTCCATGTACACTGTGGCACTCACTGGAAACTGCCTCATTCTCCTGGCTGTGAAGAGGACCCATAGCCTACACCAACCCATGTACTACTTCCTGTCCATGCTGGCCCTAAGTGATGTTGGCCTCAGCTTATCTACACTGCCTTCCACCCTAGCTGTGCTCTGGTTTGACTATCGTTTCATTGGCTTCCATGCCTGTCTGATCCAGATGTTCTTTCTGCATTTCTTTTCTGTGGTAGAGTCTTCAGTACTCTTGGCCATGTCATTTGACCGCTTTGTGGCTATCTCCAATCCACTGCGCTATGCATCTGTCCTCACTAATAATGTCATCATCAGGATTGGTGTGGCCATTACTACCCGAGCCACTCTGTCCCTCTTACCATTGCCTTTCTTGTTGAAGCGACTGAACTACTGCCCTGGAAAGAGCCTCCTGTCTCACTCATTCTGCTTCCATGCTGATGTCATGAAGCTGGCCTGTGCTGACATTACTGTCAACATCCTGTATGGACTCTATGTAGTTCTGTCCACAGTGGGTGTAGACTCTTTGCTTATTGTTATGTCCTATTCCTTGATTCTTTACACAGTAATGGGGATAGCCTCTCCCAGGGAGCGTGTTCGGACTCTCAATACATGTGTTTCCCATATCTTGGCTGTCCTGGTCTTCTATATTCCAGTCATAGGTGTGTCCATGATCCATCGTTTTGGTAAGCATCTGCCCCACATTGTTCATGCCCTTGTTGCATACGTGTACCTTGTGGTACCTCCTGTGCTCAACCCCATCATATACAGTGTCAAGTCCAAGCCCATCAGGGGGGCCATGTTCAGAGTGTTAAATAGGAAAGGCCAAAGCTAATAAACTTAAAATACATCACAATTTGGGTAAAATAAAAGAAAGCCATAGCTTTTCTCCAGTTGTGCTGAGATTGTGGGGTGACAACTTGCCTTATTCCTGTTACAAATCTGCTTATTGTTTACTTTGTAAAGACACAATGATGGGAATTAAAGACTGATAAATAAATGAAATACTTTCTATTTGATTCCTTCCCAGGGACATCCTTGTACCACCACTTCTAAGCCCTCCTTGATACTTAGACACTCTGAACTTTACAGCTAATATCCACTTATAAGTGAGTATATACTATGTTTGTCTTTCTGGGTTAACTCATTCAGGATGAGTTTTCTAGTTCATCCATTTGTCGGCTAATTTCATGTTGGTCATTACAATAGCTACTAGTATGAATTACAGATAGGAGGTGCCAGACTGGAGTTAACTGGAAACTTTTCTCTCAAAGTTACTCTGTCCTTAAAAGAAGAAAAATTAATTGGGCAGTGTAATGAATCCATTCATCTATCATTATATATGAATGACTCCATAGGACAGCAAATATAAAGCAGAAATACAATGGGATTGAATGGAGGTATACACCTGTGATTCCAGCACTTGAGAAGTAAATGCAGGAGAATCATCAGCCCAAGGTCATCCTTAGCTACACAGTGAACTTGAGGTCACCCTGGTTTATGTGAGATTCTCTCTTTCTCAAAAACATACACAAATGTCCTCCAACCACACACTCACACACACACACACACACACACACACCCTATGTCAAAGCAAAGCATGCATGCAAGTACACACTAAAACCCTGGAAGAATAAACACCAATGGTCTTTTTTTTTTTCTTTTGAGTAACAGATTGAAGATTCTTTATTGTGTCTTAATGTCTTTTATATTTTCAGAATGCCTGTGATTTTTGTTTTCAGTGATTACATTTCAGTTTGCAAGTAAGGAAATCATGTCTTTCTAATCCTTTTCATTGCCTTTCTCTCAACTGCATTGTCAGAGCACTTCTGGGCACTGGATAGTTATGCACCCTGCCCCTCTCAGTTCAAAGTCACCAAATCTTGCATTAGATACATTGCTTGCTATTTCCTTTGGCCACCCCTCACCTTGGCCTAGTCAGTTCTATCATATACACAGTTCTTATATTGTGGAGTGTAGTTCAAGAAATTGGAAGTGCAAATAGATCTCTGTGCTATTAGCCTTAGCCAGGAAATTCTACCCTGCACACACTTTGCTTCTTGCTTCTCCTATTCACCAACTACACACAGGATCTGACTGGTTGTTTTGTAGGTGGTGATCCCAATCTTCAATCAGTCTACTCCAATTCCTTTCCTACAGTGGCCAGCTAACTCCAAAAAATGTTCTTGAAGGATTCTTAGGTAGGACTCAAGGCTATGTTCATGGTATGTTCAGTTAGCAGGAATGTAGTCCTTATTTCCTTTGTTGCAACACAGCTCAAAGCCCTAGGTGTCCTGCCAGGTGGTAATGACACACACATTTAATTCCACAGCTTGGGAAGTAGAGGTAGGCAGATCTCTTTGAGTTCAAGGCTATCCTGGTCTACAGAGTGAGTTCCATGACAGGCTCCAAAGCTACTGAGAAACCCTATCTCAGGGGGAAAAAATCCCTGGGTGTCTGTGGTGTTTGATTACATATGTGCTCCTCATTTTCTATAGACCCACTTTTCCCCTAGTTTTACTTCCTGGTCAGCTACATGGGCTAATGACTCTACTCAGTCTTATATCTCTTGCTCTTGACTCTACTCTGTGGTGATTACCCTTTCTCTTTTTATACCACAAGCTGCTGGATATTCTCAACTGCTTCTTCTAAGGCATCCCTCAGACAAGCAGGGAATCTGCAGCTAATCACACTATTTCTCAAATAAAGCCATTTAGGAACAGTCCTGTTTCCATTGTATAGCTACAGTAGTGATTGGGCTAGGAAGCAGAGCAATGTCTACTGGCTTGATAGGAAGTTTCTCAAAGCAGCACTAGGTCAGTGAAAATAAAGGACCAAATTCCTCCTCCAAAAACAGTGTGAGATTATGGAGATTACCAACTCAGTATTCCACAAGTCTGTCTAACAATTCTTCTACATAACATGGGATTGGACATGAAAACTTCATTTCTTTTCTTCTATTTGTGAGCTTCTGTGATTCTATGTAAGTCACTGGTTGCCAAGAAATACCGTATTCCCCACTGGTGCAATCAGAGCACAAATAAAAAGTTGATAAACTTAAATAGGCAAAAATGTCTTCATGGCTGTGACAGTTGTCATAACAAAGTGTATTATTTCATAATGTAGGCAATATAGTTTTTGTGGTCTGGTACCCAGAAGAAAAAACAATGATTTCTTTGGAAATTGTTCTGAAGAAGAAATCCAGCTATAACTTCTTAGAAATTCAAAGTCATTGTGAATTCTGATAAGAAAATCAGAAGTTTTATTTTATTTTCTTTTTCATGCTTTTGATGAACATGTTTAATATGTTTCTCCACCTCTAGATGATATGAACCATCGTCAGTAAAATGAATTGTGATTTAGAAATAGTGATAAAATAGGAAGTAATCTTCAAAACATAAGTCTTGGTCTTAATAACCATACAGAGAAAAATCAAAACGAAATCTGATGTTGGAAAATGGAAATTGCTGGTTTTATTCCATTCCCATGGAAATTCCACAGCCAGTTTCCTCTTTGAAAGCTCTGAGCTGTGCTTCAAATAAGAAAGATTTGTTTTCTTAATACTGTCTTCCAAGATGCTGATATTAAAGTAGGAATTAGAGAATGTTGAATGGAGGGAGGTTTCATCATGGATTCCTAGTGATCTGAAGTGTGTGTGGTTGTGAGAAAAAGACGTAGGATGCGCTGCCGGATCTCCTTCGTCTTCACTCCATAGACGATGGGGTTGAGCACAGGAGGAATGAGCAGATAGATGTTAGCCATAATGACAGGAAGGAGAGAGTCACGTCTCTTGCTAAAACGGTGCACCATTGACAATCCAATGAAAGGCACGTAGAATATGAAAACAGCACACACATGAGAGACACAAGTGCCAAACGCTTTTGCCTGGGCTTCCCGTGTCAAGCCCAACACAGTCTTAAGGATAAGCAAATATGAAAAGGAGATGAGAAGTGAGTCCAAGCCAATGGCAGAGATGATGACAATGAGACCATAGATGACATTAACACGGATGTCAGCACAGGCCAGCTTCATGACATCTTGATGTAGGCAGTAAGAATGGGAAAGGATATTGGAACTACAGAAAGGCAACCTTTTGATGAAGACAGGTAAGGGTGCCATTAGTGCAGCACCCCTGACCACAGCAGCCATGCCAATCTTGGCAACACGAGGCAATGTAAGCACAGTGGCATGACGTAGAGGATGGCAGATGGCCACATAGCGATCAAAGGCCATGGCCAGCAGCACCGTGGACTCCATGCCAGATAAGGAATGGATAGCAAACATCTGTACTAGACAAGCATCAAACTGGATAGTAGTGGAATTGAACCAGAAAATAGCCATCATTTTCGGCATGGATGAGGTGGAAATGAGGATGTCTAGGCCAGAAAGCATGCAAAGAAAGATATACATGGGCTCATGGAGGCTGTGCTCTGTCCTCACAATGTAGATGATTGTCAAGTTACCTAGCACAGCAATAAGGTAGAGGGAGCACAATGGGAAAGCCAGCCAGAACTGAGCCTCTTCTAATCCTGGGAGGCCTATTAAGATGAAATAGGTAGCACTGGACTCGCTGCTGTTGATGTCCACCATACTGAAAGAACTGAGATGTAGCCAGTACCAGGCAGGTTGACGCTGAAATACAAAGACAAGTCACTGTCAGGTCCTCTAAGATCTCAACACCATATAGTGTCCTAGTGTCCTTTCTCTAACAAAACTAATCCCATTGCTTTTCCAAACTCTGAACCTACACTAAATTTCATCTAACCATAAATCAAGTACAAGATGAAAACCCACTTAGTTCTACTTGCTAATTCTACCTAAATAGTAAGTGAATTAATAAGACAACATTCTGATATAATTAATCATTTACATATTACATACTATGTGGTATCTTATGCTCATACTCCCAATGCTTAGTAGTGATCATATCGTTCATATAAACCATTATCAGAACCTGGAAAATTAAACTATGGGTGGAGAAATACTAAATGAAAATATTTAATACTTACTGTAAATATGGCCAATTTCATCAAGCTATTCGAAGGTCATTATCATGTAAAAGCATCAGTGGTAGAGTAGCAACATAAACTAACATTGAAACCCAACTTGAACACTAATCTAATGATCTAATTTTAGCCTTAATACTTTAGCATTAGCCAATACATAAAAGCCATTTCAATATTAATTTAATAACACCTATGTTATTGTGATAAACCCCATCTAATAAAAACATGACAGCAATTTTATCCTGAACTATAAGACTGAATTTCCATTTTCCTAGGTATCTATCTAACCAAGAGTTTACACTTGCCCTACATAGCTTATATCAGGAAAAGAGTGACAGACTCAGTGGATTCATTGCTGTCCCATTTAGATTCCATTTAACAATGCCAAGCACCTATATAGTTGTTAAGCAATGTAACCTTTTAGCAACCATGCCAGCACTGTGCCATAAATTCAGAATGTCTCATGGATGCTGATGCTGGTCTCCAAGGGAGACTGTGGCCTTACTCAACCTCCTTCAGCTGCCCTGCCCTGCACTGCTTCCTTGTGCTTCTCCTGGGAGCACTCCTTCAGGGCACACATTGCCCTTCAGCCATACTGTCACTGCCAGTCATCTAATTTCAATCAACTGTATTCACCTGAAGTCTGAAACTATTAGACAGAAATTTAAAAAAATAAACAGTTCATGCTCTTTAAATTGTATGTCACTCTGGGATGGAAGTTTTATAACAGATTTAGACTCAGCCTGCAGGAGGGAAAAAGGTAAAGCAGAATTGTGATTAATCTACATCAGGCAAAGAGGCAAAGTCATCAATCCCTCTCACTCTTCTGAATTGTATTTGTAGTGACACAGCTCCCTGCTTCTTAAAACTGCTCCTTCCCCTGCCTGATGTCCCTTGTCTCTCTATTCACCAGCATCTGTTATCCCAGCTCCATCTTCATCCTCCTCCACTTGACTCTTAGCAATACTTTTAAATGACAATTCTGTACAAAAATTTTCTTTGGTATCCTTTGTTTATACTTTCTCCCCAGATTGTCCCAACCTCTTCAAAAGTAAATCTACTTTTCCATCTATAAGCTCTTGACCTCCAAATTTATGTTTGTGTGTATATGCCTCACATAGAGTGAGTACAAAATTTATAACACTGTTTCTTTTTTCCTTGGTGTTGATCACTAGTCACATAAACTAGATCCCATGGTTCTGGTGTAAGCTTCCCCATCTGTACAACACCAGTACTGACCACATGATATTGGGCCATTGCCTGTAGTAAAATACCCAGGGAAGGGCTGGAGGTGTGGCTCAGCTGACAGTGTATTTGTCTAGCTTGCAGAAAACACTAGATCTGATCCCACATGTATTATTCTTGCCATCACTTATTTTTTTCTTTATGTTACTTTTCCTAAGTTCCTTTCCATGAATAATTAACCATTTCCTGTTTTGCATGCCAACATAACTTTGCTGAGGTCCCCTTTCATTCACTGACTCTCCTAGTTATAAGAATCACTTATTTTTCCACAAATTGTCAATTTCTTAATGCCAAGAACACTACTACATTTATTAATTAGCATCAAGTTATGTTCACTTATAATGAAATAAGTTTTACTAATAGCAGAATCCCTTGATGAGCATCTGATGAAGATCACTCAGGCAAGGGATAGGTATGACTGTCAGATATATGAACTTCAAGACAGAAAGGAGGAAGGGAGGGAGGGAGGGAGGGAAGGAAGGAAGGGAAGGGAGGAAAGAAGCATGAAGCTGCTGCAATGTCTTGGCTCTGTTAAGTACAAAGAGGCTATGCAGCACTATCTGTGCCTGAGGGCAGACATCACCTACGATTCCTACCTGGAGGCATTAACAGAAGAGACTCCAGGATCCAGAGGGCCAGCGAGCTAGCTATCAGTCCACCCAGCAGTTTGCATGAACCAACATGGGCTGGCAGATTGCCAAGATTAAAATACACTGCATTAGGAAGCGCATTGGAAAAAGGCATGGGTCCACACAGGAAGTTTTATGGCCTCTGTGAGCAGAACCCTTTGGAGCAAAAGCATGAGTCTTGGCCTCAATTCTTGGAGTAATAAATTGTTAAATTACTATTATTACATTAAATAATAACAACAACTTCATAGTGCTACTGTGAATTCATGAGCAATCATCTATGTCAAAACACATTACAAAACTATCAAAGAGCACAAAGCATTGAAAATATATAAAATGAAATTTTCTTTTATCCAGTTTGCTTTAGTCTTCACTCAACATTTACTTACTCACTTTATAAATGTACCCATATACATATATATGAATATACTCAATTTCTCACATTGGCATGAATGGACCCTGATATAGAGGTACCAGAAATCCAAAGAGGGAAGAGTCAGTCAGCCTGGAAAGGAAGTACCTTGGCAACACAAAAAATCTAGACCTCAAAATCTGTGAAGACAAGAAATGAATGAATGGAAAGGGGACCAGACAGCCCAAGTACCATCCTTCAGTCTGTACAACCCTAGCATCTCCTACAGCTCTCCAAGGGATAACAGAATGGACAGCACTGATTCCCAACTATAACCATTCTCTCAAGAGATGGTTCAAGCTAGTTGGGATGAAATAATTTTGTCTTGAAAATGAAACAAAACCAATGAAAATAAACAAAGGAAGTCTCTCTCTCTCTCTCTCTCTCTCTCTCACACACACACACACACACACACACACACACACACACACACACACACACTATCCTAATCCCAAAGGAATACCCCTGTCTTCATCTTTCCCTAAAATTTCAAATTAGCTTAGTGAATCTGGGACTATTCAGGCATCTTGACCTTTTCTTGGGAATTAGAAAAAAGCAGACCCCAGACCCCACCTGTACAGAGTCTAAATCCACTCTGGAGTCTGGACTTTCTCCTGGCTTAAAGGCCAGTACTTGCTCCAATACCAGTTCAGCCCTTTTCACCAGCTCACCCCACATCCTTCACCAGAACTGCTACCATTCTTACAGACCCATGGGAAAGTTGGCAGAAAGGAAAACAAGGTCATGTGCCCTCTCTTCTGACCCAAGAACAATGTAGCCATCTCCCAGCCCTAACTTGCCATTTTGTGATATTAATAGAGCTTACTGAATGCCTCCAAAATACCAGACATATAAATATCATCCCTTGGCTGAGAACAACTCTACAGGAAAGATGGAGTTCTCTGAATCCTTTCCTCATAGCAGATGAGAAAATACGGGCTCCAAGAGACTAAATGACAATTCTGGAGCTTAACAATCAACAATCACAGTGGAAACAGCCAAGGCCCCCTTCTAACCTCTTACCTTAAGGTGCCTTTGATCGATCGTGCCACACCTTCTAGAAGCTGAGGAAATCTGGCTGGAGATAAAGCAAGATAAGAGTGTGACACACGGGGCACTTGCGCATGTGTAATCTTAGATGAGAAAATAAGAGAATAGTAAAGAGAACTCTCCTAGCTGAGGCTATGGGTCATTCTCTTCCAGGCCAAATCTCCTGGCTGTGCCATGGTCAGGCCCTACAGTAGAGAAGTAGAGAAGAAGGGTTCTGTTCACTACTGATTATCTCCTAGTATAATCACAGCTTTCACCAACTTGTCAGATAGGTCATACCATTTTATAGGCAACAGTGTGAAGGGTAAAGCTCTGAGTGACCAATCTGACTGCTTCCAATATGTCAAACCTATCCTGTCCTTCTCACAGTCTCCTTAATAATGGATGTTTTGTAGGAATAATTTTCATGGTCTGAGTCCAGGAGCTTCTTTAAGGACCAGGACACCTAAGCAGCTCTCCATACTTAAGGAAATATAAACAAGAATGGGGCAAGAGGGAATGAGGATGGAGATTCGTAGTCTTGTCCTTATCTGGATAGAAATGGAGTTTCTCGTACCCAGAGCAGCGATATGAGCTGCTCCTGTGCTACTTCCAGCCTTAGTTAGATTGCTTGGGAAAGAATGTTCTTTGAGTGGAGCCCAAATGGAGAAGGGAGCCTCTGGCTTCTACTTCCAGGCCCAGAGAGGAAGGGCAGCCTTGTGGAAAATACTGGAGCTGAAGCCTGGAGGAGCTTGACGCTTGAGGAGGTTGATCTTTTCTTAGCACTACGTATGAGTAGTATTCCCAGAACCACATTTACCCAAATTATCAATACCAATCATGCCCTAAAACCTGCTTGGATTTGGTGAAGCAAGTTAACCTTGAAGGATGTTGGTCATTCTTGACTTTAATGGGCAAGATAACACTTGGAAGATGGAATTTTTAAGAAATAGGGTGAAGTTTTCATCCTATCCCACTCATTCAAAACAGTCTGGTCCCCTAAAGTCACCCCAGAAAGAGTACCTAGGACTTTAAGTCCACTTCCTGTGTAGGGCCAAGTCAGTGCTCTACAAACTAACAAAGCCAGAAGTGACTATTGGTAGCCTTGTGGGGTTAGTGTGGCATGTGACTGCTGCCTGCAAGTGTGGAGCGCCATAGATGCCTGATGAAGGACTTTGTTCAAGGCATTTCTTTTCATCTAACAGTTACTCCATGCCTGGCTCCTGCCTGCTGAGCTCTGAACTAAACACCAGAGTAAGGAAGGCACAGCTCAAAACTGGTGTGCAGAAAGCCAGAGACAAGCATGC